CAGGAAGGTGGAGGGCAATAGGAAGGTTACTGATTCCAGTAGTATGGGAATGAGCAATCAACCTGGCAGCAGGACACCTGGATTTAAATCCTAGCTTTAGCAATTACAATCTATCATCTTGATAAGTCACGTAATCTCTCTTAGCCTCAGGTACCTCAATTATAAAACGGAGAGACACTTACTTTACCTATGTTGCAAGGCTGTTTTGAGAGTTAAATGAAAAAATGTAGGTGAGAGTGCCTGGCGCATAGAAAGTTAGCTTAATATGTCCTCAGTTTCTGGAATGAATGCCAATAAAAAAGCTACTTAAGTCATTTTTTAAAATGCAAGCACATTAATGTTGTTAATGTTGGTAAAGCCTTTCGTGGTAAATCTATACACAGAAACGAGAGATTTAATACAAAGAGTGGATGCAGGTGAGGCAGAAATAGTGACCGGGGAAGATCATGATATTAAATAGTTCTGAGGATCCTACAGATTGGTAGTAGTTATCCCCCTTGCCAAAGTCTGAGTTTATAAAGCAAAGATGACATACAGCTTCCTCTTCATTTCAATTTCAATTAATTAAACAAAAACCTAGTTCAACCTGAGTTCTGTCTTGGAACACAAAACACTAATAAATTATGCTTTCTTTGAAAATAACATAAGTAACTCCTCATTTGCAGGCCACGGTCAAGATTTAGTAAAATGGCCATCCATCAGCTCACACAAACCTACATCTTCAAAGAGACTCAAAGAAAAAAAAAAAAACTAACTCACTTTCTTAATGGCGACAATTTGGTTGGTGTTCTTGTCTCTGGCCTTGTAAACCGTAGCAAACTAAAAAGAAAAACAGAAATAAGGTAAGTTTGTGGGAAGATTTTTGTTGGTGTTTGCCTTTTTGCTTTATATGTTGGGAAGCAAAGAAATCAGGTTTCTTGGGGAGGACTCGCGGCGGCTTGAAACGTAGTGGGGCAGTCCACGTCCCGTGCCTGTCTATTCAGAAAGGAGAAGGCCGCTCAGGGCTCACCTCCAGGGTGTACACAGGAGCAGCAGCTGAGTCTGGGCAACCTCGGCCAAAAAGAACGAGTAGCCAGGCAAGTCCTCTGGCTTCCATGAGAAAACTTGTGAAGGTGGAGGAGGCTCGGCGCTCTCCGCTCCTGAATCTCCGAATCCCCAAGAGACTCACCTGTCCCTCTCCGAGGAAGTCCAGTTTTTCATAACGCTTTGCTCGCGACTTCACGTCTACAGCCATCCGTCGCGGGAAGCCCGACACCAGTTGAAGAACGAGCTC